TTGCGCTGCATATAGAATCGAACCCAGAGTCTTGAGAATACGGTGAAAAAGGTAATGGGCGTTAGGACGAATGCGATATTGGACGTCACTCTTCCTCTTCCTTCTGGATTAACATGGTTCGGAGGCGGCCACGAAGCTATAACGCTCAATGGGGGGCTTGTGCCACCAGGCATATCGATGAACGTCAATTTGGTAAACAGATTGGGAGCGTAGCTAGCATTTAGATTCTTCGCTGGAGCACTGAGTTGTTTTGCAACAGACGATATATGTTTCAAGTGCTTATATTCGTTTATTCCAGCAAGATTAGCGTGTGATGAGAGTTGCAAGGCTGCCACTGGAGTTGATTGTTAAGCGGAAGCATGCAAGCATACTTTCAACGGCTCGCTGTCCGCCGACGCCGGCACGCGTACAGCAGCAGCTTTGGTCATGCCGTCCTTCATTTCGTGTTCACAAACGGTAATGAGAGAGGCGGGGCATACTCGTCGATCATGGTTCAATGCAGCTGGGGGCTTAGGCAGAACGTGTGCATGAATCGACAACAGGGTACGTACCAATCCGACATAGGCATGCCATAATTGTCCGGCACGGTGCATTTACTTTTTTCAAATAGGAGCCCGAGCGCTATGTTTCCGACTGGCGTGCCGCAAAGCCGCACGCATCCTTTGTGGCTATTGGGCGACTTGACCGCGCAATCACGAAATGGGCACAAGTGGAGCCAGCAACCAGGGACTGTTCACGTGAATCAACAGAAGTCTGGCTCGGGCCAACGTTCGGCCACTGGCGTCATCTTAGTGCCCGCTACCACGTGTGACGCCCGTGCTGCGTGCAGCTCGCCCATATCGTTGTCGTTCTCCCTCTTCCCCGATACCCTTAACGATTGCGCAACTTGTTGAGGATCCAACTCATCATGTACTTCATAGCCTGTTTTGTCCCTGCTGTAATGCGATTCACTTGATGCTTGTTATTTGGAAGACGAGCCAACTTTCGCCATGCTTGTTGATCGCTCTCACAGGCCCTGCCATCGGAAGATACACCAGGCGTTCAGTGGTTTCAGGCTGCCACGATCCTAGTGCCACTTAGCCGAGCTACGAGAGTCATTGTGACAGGGCGAAAGGGCGGGAGGGACGTGATGACAGGACAGGGGCGGCAAATTCAGCCCCAAGGGTCGATACGGTACAGTAAGCTAGCATGCACGCGACCGTTGCCAAGGGCCCGTTCGCCTCCATTCCCGTTTTCTGGCTACTAAACATTATCTAGTAACTGCCTCAACTCACTCTAAGAAACCCAGGTTGTAAACGGAGTTGTATTCGAAAAAATGGAGACCTGGCTACTCTAAAACCGCGCTAGATTCTCCTAGCTTTACGTCCGTAAAAATTCATATCCACCACTAATTCGCACTATATTTTCTCCTTTTTACATCACGCGAAACTGAACGGTGTTTTCAACTTCAACCTTCAGAGCTCAAGCTGGAGCTGAAGACTCCTTTTGCTGCTAGTTTTGTTGGAGTAGCCTGTAACGTGATCCGGCGTAACTACAAAACGGAGTTGCAGTGACTGAACACCCCCTCCGTTTTCATTCCCAATCTAGATAGCCCAGCTGCAACGCTAGCCAGGCTTCCCTTGTTGAAGCGCTAAACTCAGCACAAAATGACAGAAATGGAGAAGGGACAAGCGAACAGGCCCTCAGTTCGCCACACTTGTTCTTAGACTTACCGAGGCCTTTGCGGACTTATGGCAACTTTCTCGACAGTGCTTTGGACTGACTCGTTTGTGGGTCCTTCTAGCTCTCGCACGGATACAAAACAGGAATCAAACATCACTCAGCACCAATCAGCGCCCAAATGAATCAGGTGTTGAACAGACGCCAGACGATGAGGCGCCAGACGCTTCGTACTCAATGCTAGGCAGAGATATCGTTATCAAAGTCGTGCTTCACACCACGACAGTCATTGTCACAAACTGCAATTATTCAAGGAAAACAGGACGTTTAGACCCACTGATTACGAACGGCCATACTCGGAGGACTTTCGAGTGTGCTTGCAGGAAAGGACCCGTTCCGAGGCACGTACTTTCCAACATCCGACCTTGAGCCCCTTCCGCCGCTAGAGCCGTGATCTTGTGGGATGCCTCGAAATTTCCCGGATTTTCTCTACTGGACACTGGTCATGCGTAGCCATGGTTCCTACGCCGTATTTTGGCGATTCTCAACACTTGCAATGCTGGGAGGATCTTGCCATCTTGCCACCGCTTTGAAACCATGGCAGTTGCTGTTCAAATACGTATGTTCAAAACTCTCCGCGTTTCATCAGTGAACCATCGGAGCCAGCTCCACTTTCCCCAGCTCCACGTATTGGAAACCATTCTCAGACTTTCACAGCCACTTCTTGATGTCGTTTTCTGTATCTTGGCAGCCATTGACCGGCATACCATCGGCTTCCTGCATGCGGCATGTGTCTACCGGCACTGAGGGAAGGTCGCACGTGGGGTCTTTTGCTGAGAATGATGCCTTCAGAATTATCAGCTCTGACGTGAGTCTCACCGATCTCACCCAGCATGGAGTACCCCGCCACTTTTTCCCGTTATTCGCCTTCCTTGAAACATCCCTCCCGTTTCGCCGAGGGATGCCTCTTAGTAATAGCAGAAGCCACGAACAACCGTACCGTGGAAGTTGATTTGAATCATTGTGAACGATCTTCCTGTTTATTTTTGAAGGCTTGCAGATAGAAGTCAGTATCCTCCCGTACTCTAGGTCTGCCTTCCTCGCATGCATACTGCAGCTCTCTGGATCCTTCGAGGCGGCGATAACCTGCTACGTCCTTTCGGAGGGAAAGTATGGGGTCAACTGGAATATGAACAACCCGCAAGCATGCTCACCACTCTAAAGTGCAGCGTAGTCCCGATAAAGGACAGATTCCCTTACCACGGGACTCGCAATCGGGCAATCGCATCTTCAAATATGATACATCCTCTACTGCCCGTTGGCGGTTCATCTCGAAAAACTCATACAATATTTGCCCATCATGTCATTGTGAATTGATAGCCAATCTGCTGGTAGAGTTCTTGACAAATAGGAGCTGTTTACTTGCAATATCTTTCAGAATCATTACACAAGTGTAAGTGTACAGTTCCGTATGAGAATATAGAATGATAGGATAGGCTGGGTGTTGCGATTTATGGTGTGATTTTATTATCTTCAGTCCGCGAGGTAGTGAGGATGGTACACCAATCGTTCGCCTTGCAGCCATGTAGCGAACATATAACCTGAGATCCTAGCTATATCACCCAGAATCATGGGTGCGCACTAACGTACATTGGGCTAAGGCAAAGGTCATGATGACAACTCGAGGATGTAGCGAAAGGAAAATATTTGGCGGATTGTCTACCCTGTACAACTACACGAGATGGGATATACCGCCCTGCATTTAACTTAGATAAGAAGAGGTTTTTTTTAAGAAATCAAATCGTCTACGTAGATATTTGAGATGCGTTTTACACGCTAGGCGCTTTCCTAGGCTGAAAATGAAAGGACATTTTAATCAATTAGCCTATCGCTACCTATGAATGCTAATGAAACTACCCTCCTTACCTTCGGCGACTTTACATTGTGGAGTAGTCTGCGCTACACAACTTCCTTGAAGATGTGCAAGCCTGGCCACTAAATTTCCAGTACTATACTCAGGGATACACCGAGCCCACCAGAGCAATTGTAGCTTTTGACAAAGAGATGAAAGTCGCAATATGTGATGAATGAGAAGAGACACGAGCGAAGGCAGAAGCCGCTAAGAGCAAGTTAAAGTGCAATTGTCAGCGCAAGTCGTCCGCGCAAGCTGAGGATGCGTAGCACTGAAAACGCAAACAGCACGATTAAGCGAAGCCGATGCAGCAACCCCCCCTTCCGAAAGGGAACAGGAAAGCATCTAGGACGACCTTGTGAAATCCGGCGCACTCAAGACAAATAAATCTTTTGTACAAGAACACAATGCGCTACTTTCTACTGTCTCCCCACATAGTGCCGCAGTCTAGACAGAAATACTATACACTGAAAACCATGTTCAGATCTTGGTCAGGACTAGAATTACCTACTGTGCGTGTCACGACCACTGAGCAACTGCCCAAGCTAAGTACACAGTCCGATTAGAGATCCAAATGCTTCAGTGTCATGACCTAGAATAGCTGCTTGAGAAGTGGGTCGTTGTGCGTGACTCGATTTCAAGCTCAAGCCGATACTTAACGGCGGCGATTGCATCGTAGCGACGCTTGAGAGTATTGCGCTGTCGCTCAAACTCGGTGGTGTGCTGCATCAGGCCGATGGTGAGTGCATCGTTTTGTCCCCTGGGCTAGCATGCGTATAAAGACTTGGAGGGTTTGGATACCATGTCGCATGTTTGCGCGTATCTCGAAGTGAGTCTCGCGATCGACGGTTCGTTTTCGCCGCAGTTGCTGCTCTGACAAGCGAGTTTTGCACGCCCCCACGGCCAGGTGTACGCGCGGGCAAAGAAGCAGAAGAAACTGGTGCGGCCTCTCTGGGTGGTATCGTGTCCGACTGCATGATGGCGAAGATGGCCACTACACTATCTCTATCATATATTTAATCGAAACGAAGGCGAAAGCATGCACATGACGTGCGACGCGGCATTGCTGGTCTGGACCGTCATTTTGTTATCCGTATCCCATTAGTAAATATGCGCCATTCCCCACATGTCACTGGTGGTTGTTATGCCGGTTCCAAGAATCTTGGAGATCGCTGTGCTGACCTTGGCTGCCTCACTGCAAGTATTGGTTCTTATAGAAATTTTATTATAATTATTCATCTTAGGAACTGGAACAAACTTTCGTGTCAACCTAACACTAACAGCCTAAAGCAGACCTGGCGATGTAACCTACACCACTTTGTGCACTTTCAAACGAACCAAAACCTGCTTCTTCACTTGCTCATGGATATACTGAAATGCGCTACAACCTTCTACTTCTTATGTGAAACGCGTATGCCGAAGCTACCTATCATACTAAGCTGGCATATCCGCCTGAGTAGCCACCTGCTGGTCCAAACGTGATACCTGCGCCAAGTACCGTCCTCACTGCCATGTCGTTGAACTGCCGCTCTGCTTGAATTCGATGCATCCGCACGGCTATATCCTCAGGCGAGCCAGGCTCTAGCGTTCCAGACGCTGCTGGAGATTCTCTGGCCTGCACGACACTGGACACAGGAATATTGGGATCAAGCATCATAGCGGTCCTCGCCTCGTCGCCCACGCGCTTGATCGCAAGTGTCTGCACTTCGTCGGCGCGTAATCGCAGGGCCTGAATCTCGGATTTATCCCTTTTGCTCAAGTCCGGGTGATTGAGTACCCCAGGCTTGTAAGTGTCTGCGCAGAGCGCTGGCATCAATGTGGAAATCTCGTCGGGATTCTGCATAATCTCGAGGAAGAAGAACTTGTACCAGCCAGCACGGTTGAGTGCGGGTATGTATGTTGCGTACGACGATGTAGCAGAGAGCGGCTCTGATATCTTCAGCTCTTCAGCATGCGCCTGCTCATCAAAATTCCATATGGGCGCCAAGTGAGGCTGCACAGGAATCATGACGTGCGGGATACCTTCCAGTCCAAATTGATGCGCAAGGGCTGTATACCCATTGTATGAGTAAAGTTCTAATATGTTAGCGCGAACTTCGGACGGCCTTGGAGGTGACTTACTGCGCGCATCCTCGGGCAAATCGATCCAACTTGCCAAAATTTTAGGCGCTTCCAACAAACCAGAGTTTCGCGGCTCAAAGTTTTGGTCCAGGGCATCAAACAACAAATCAGCTAAGATATAAAATTCTCGAGTCGGGGTTTCTGTAACTGGGTCTACGAAACTCCAAGGATCTGCAAGCGGTACACTACTAGCACTGGCTTTTCGCGGGGGGACTGTAAAACCTTTGGATGGTGAAGCAGCTTGAGTGGAAGGACTATGCACCAGATCCTGTGGGGATGGAGTAATCGCTTTTGTGCCAATAGGGGAATTTCCCAAGTTCAAGTTTGCCAAGTCGGCGGGCAATTCAGCGGTGAATTCGGTAGGTGCAGCTGGAGACACGGAGCTTTGAGGAGGGGCTGGCGTAGATGGCTGCGTATGTGTGAGATTGGTCGGTGGCAACTGTACTTGTGCATCTTTGTGCTGCGGTGGAGGACTTATTGGTAGAGGAATTGAGTTCTCCACCTGAGCTCCTGGACTGGCAGGTGACATGGGATGCCAATGTTGCTGTTGATTCTGCTCTTGCTGATACGGCGTGTTTGGTACCGGCAGATTTGGCTGTGGTTGGTGTTGATGCTGTAGCTCCTGTTGGGATGGCGTGTTTGGCACAGGCGAATATGATTGTTGTTGCTGGCCAGCATGTGGAGCATGGTCTTTTTCATACCCCCATTGCGACTGTTGACTTGGAGATACTGCTGATTCTGGTGGTGAGATTTTTGGATGCGGTGGCACTGGTGGTGCCGGAGGATATCCCGACTGTGGCTGAAACCCAGTCTGGCCTCCGGTTGTAAACGCAGTTTTCTGACTGCTATATGCAGTCTGCTGCTCATGCGGAAAGTATTGCTGAGGTTGTATAGCGTTTGTCTGTCCGAGCTGGCCCTGCTGCCCTTGTCCATATTCAGATGTGTTGTAACCTGGCGCGCTCAGTGGCTGTTGTGCAACAGTCGCTTGTACTGGTGGTGGAGGGGGAGGGCTCTGTTGCGGGTAGTAATAGTTCTGAATTGGCGAAGCAGCAGTCGAGGCTCCATAGTAATAGTTTGGCTGGTATAGTGAGGGCTGTACAGGAGTGTAAGAGTTGGTCGGCGGAGTCGGCTGTTGCTGTTGAGGCTGCTGCCACTGCTGCTGTTGATAACCATGGCCTTGGCCTTGGGGGTTCTGGTGGCTCTGATAATTTTGGTAACTCTGCAGATGTTGAGGAGGGCCAGGGGCAGGTTTGTTTCCAAGCTTCGAGCTCAATGTCTGTCCTAGCTTATCCACCATCGGCTTTCCAGTAGAGACAGCCTGACTCATCATCTGCCCAAAGATGCCGCCAGCCTTGGGCGTGTGGCCTGACTGTCCATACTGCTGCTGTTGATTGGCGTAGTTCGGTGGAGCGCCCTGGTAACCGCCAGGCTGAGTGTTTGGGCTGTAATTCGACATGGTGTTTCTCTAAACTCGTCTGCTCACTTTGAAGGGAGATGTGCGACTGGTGTATGACCCCTCCATGAGTAACCTCGGCCAGGCAGCGCTTCAGCCGCATTTGGTTGGACACGGTGCTTGGCACGGTGGCTTATTGAGGCTTGAGTGCTATACCGTGTTCGTGCGCATAATGCGCCGAACCGCCTGAACAAGTCGCTACAAAAATGAGGCTATACTTAGAACCACTGAGGCGGCCACTCTGTTCGTATGAGCAAGATCGAAGGAACGCTTTTTGAAGTATGTATGTATGCCCTAGATACTGTTGCAACCTTTGCAAGGCCGCGGAAAAAAATGGTGTTAGCTCTATTTCTCAGGATTTTAGATTCATACCAGGGATGCGAGCCCAGGCTGCCTTCCTTGGGGTATCACCGTATAATTTAGGCACCTTCACCGCCCCCTCTAGCACCTTCAACCCACGTGATAAGTTTTAGGAAACGAAGATCCTTTTCCCCCAATATTTGTTTATTTCAAGTTATCGCTTTCGTATATATAGAAAATATTACCTTTTGTACGTCGTATAAAGTTGATAGAGAATAAAACATATCAAGGGAACGTAATAACCGCATTAATGCATGGTTTTTACACCCAATGCTAGGTGTGTAAAAGTGTGGGCGTATGGTTAGCATGTCACTAGTAAACATAGTGAAGAATAGTTTCCCAATAACTTTTGCATAGATCTTCATACAACTTAACACACGAATACAAGTACGGAAGTGGAAGCGGGAGTACATCTGAAAGACACCTCGTTTTTGATCTCGCAAACTCGCTGCCAAATCTCAGGTATTCAAATGAAATCGACAACAGTTCCATGCAGGTATGTGATCATACTATAGCTGAATCCGTCAATAATGATGATCTGAGCGAAATTCATTGTAGCCGACCTCCGTATCACCGGCTTCTTATTATAGCGGAGTCCGAGCACACTATTACAAATCTAAAATAGCTCAAATTTGATCAAGCCATGCGCGATACTGTCATCTTTGCTAAGAATGTTAAGCTACCATTCACTACCAACAACACTGCGTCTGATGCGCCATGGGTGCTCACTGGTGGTTCATACAATGGTCCTCGACCATGCCATCACTTCTCAAAATTTCTATAATAGGTCATGAGTTTACGTTCGTTACGGACCATTTGACTAGCTATCACACCAACAACCCATTTTGCAATACTCGATACCATAACAAACAGTTATTTAGACATGAATGGAGCCAGTCAAGCGCTGGCATAGCCACTCCGTCCCAATACGCCCAGAAAGTATTCTGTGCCATCAGAGAAAAGCACCGTGCTCAGCTCCACATTACGCTATCGCAAGCATTGACGATGTTTGAACGCGGCCTCGGCTCGAGGCCAGCAGTGACTTACTTGGGATAGTACGTCACCGTGGCGTCACCATGAAAAAATGTACTTAGGTATGCAGCTTGAGGAAAGCAGAAAGAAAGACCACGCTAGAACTCATCAAATGACTTGTAAAATCGATAAACTTTTGCTGTGAGTTGCCGGCGCTCTGTTCGGATCTGCTGAGACCAGAAGCGTTGTCAGTATGACGATGAGATTCTGCCCGTCTCTTCGAGAAACGATAAATTCCAACTCTCGTTGGAAAATAACCGAGCAAGCTAGACGCCAACGAGACAGTATTACGTGATTTTAGATTATGAAAATTCGTATATGCAGAGTCGAATCACTGTTGCATGCAATTTACCGATCAATTTCGATGAGCGATCTACTTGAGGCATGATGGAAAGAAGACATCCCTCATTTTAGGCCGCACCGAATTTTGTTCATGAGTGTCGCAAACATATTTTAGAGATGCAATTGAACTTGATGCAACGGTGTATATTCACCGACTGAGCTTTAGTTAAATGAACTAATTTGAGGGTCAAAGTCGTGCCGAAATCATCATACAAGGAGTATAATATGACTTAGTTCGTTGTAGCTATTTTAGTTGCAGCAACTTAGCCACTAAGTGGCCGAGCATGGGGTAAGACATTCCTTTCAAGAGTCTGCTACATCTAACAAAAAACCTGCTACGCACCTTTAATAACTCAAATCAACTATTAGTCTCGCAATTAGATTTGTATTTGTTCCGTTTTGCAGACAAAAGAAAGACTATTCTCTTAGATGGGAACTCTAGCAATCACTCGGTCTATCTATGACGTATTTCCGGTCGGCGGTAGATCATACATGATCACTTCACGTGAACGTTACACTGATGCAGACTTCCAAGCCAATGAAATCAGTGTGGATTTGATCACCAGATGGTAAGGGAATCTGCACTAGCATCTCTGACAGGTATATATTACCGAGATTCAACAGCCATGTGATCCAGCGCGAGTGATAACGGATCTCTTTGGTAGCTGAGCTGCAGTTGGTATTACTTGCTGAAAATAGCGGTGAATGATGGGATATGTCATTTAAATTCAAGAGGCTTATTTCTTCTTCTATTTTCACATACAAAGTCCCCCACTATTAGTAAATTTCTTCGTTGACTTGCATCGCCACGTACGATGTGTCCTGAATCTTCACATGCATCTTGGTACATGGAGGAGCCGGAAACGATTAAACCCGCTATAAGAGAGGTCTTCGAGAAACACAGCAACATCCGACCCGAACTCGTCGCGGAGCACATTAAGCAGGTGGTATGTGGATCGCGAGTCCAAGATATGTCCGAGACTGATGGTAGTGCAGCGAGATAGAGCGTACCAAATCGTAAGTAGTACAACAACTACACAGAGAAGAACTAATTGTTCCCCGATTTTCAGACCCACTATCCATGTATTGGAGGATATTACTTCCTGGACTTGAAAGCACGAGAGGCACCATGCTACCCCGAAATCAAAAGACGTGTCCTGAATGGAGAGAAACTCCTCGATGTCGGCTGTTGCTTGGGACAGGAAATTCACAGAATGGTATACGATCCGCATATGTGCTATAGCTACATCTACGAAATGGGCTTACTGATATGAATAGGTTACTGATGGTATGCCTGCAGAGAACCTGTATGGGTGCGAGTTGAAAATGGAACTTGTAAATCTGGGATACGAAATGTTTCTTGACAAAGAATACCTGGCATCAAAGTTCATCGTTGCAAATATCTTCGAGACTCCCTCCGAGCTGGATCAGCTAGATGGGCAAATCAGCATAGTACACGCCCAGTACTTCTTTCATCTCTTTACGTGGGACGACCAGTTGCGTCTTGCCAATCGGCTAGTCAAGTTATCTAAACCAAGCTGCGAGTTTCTGATATTCGGGGGACATATGGGAGCGAACCAGGAGACTGAACCGTACCATCCTGACACTGGGAAATTCTTCATACACAGCGATGAGAGCTGGAGACGACTGTGGGATCAGGTTGGAAGTGAAACAAAGACCTCATGGGAGGTGGAGACAGCACGAAAGCCTGCAGACCCGAACCTACTCTGGCTATGTGGGCCAGATGCGTATTTCATGACGTTTGTAGTGCGTAGAGTACAGGCGTCCTGCGAGTAGGTTGCACATAGCAACGATAAATAGTGCAAAATTCACTCCAAAGGTCAAAATGTACCGGAGAAGATGAAACTCTAGCGCAATGCGGTCTGTTTAAATTCTGAATGAGGCAATGTAGTATGTCGCTGTGTAGAGCATCACCACGGCTACTAGTACGAAGATCGAATCTATTCTCTCCGGATCAATTTTATTGTCACTACTAACTAATAACTATTGTATCTCATTCCCCAATTAACATCCACCAGATCGAACTGAAGAAGATCCTCAATTTTCCCTAAAACTCTCTACCCTTCACATCGCAGACACCAAATTCCCTCTCCCGTTCACCTTGTTCAGGCAGATTCTAATACACCTTCTCAAAAATATTCATCTTATGCGATCCTCCACACATCAAGCTACTACCCGTACACTTCATATTGCACTTATTCTCCGGCACATTTTCAGACGCGATCTCGAACGAGTCACCACAGAAGCACTCGCGCGAGTACTGGACACCGTAGTATTTGCGGCCCTTGCAAAATGCCGCACACATATCGCGAGTCATGTTGTTGTCTTGTTTGTAGCCGTCTCGTAGCACGCGGTAGTCGTTGTCAGTATAGCAACCGATGTACTTCCAGGGTGGGTTGCGCAGGGTATTGATTTCATCGGTTAGCTGCTGCTCTTTCTTGAGGAGTTCTTGCTCGCGGAGCAGGTGCTCTTGTTTGATCTTGTTGAGCTCGGCGGCTGCGTTTTGCTGGGCTTCGGTGAGTTGGGCGCTCAGTTGCTGCTCACGCAAAAGACAATCGTCTTTGGCTTTTTGGCACACTTCGTCGGATGGGCAGGTTGGCGGGTTCAGCGAGAGCGGCTGGTTGAAGGTAATACCGTTGCTGCAAGTACAAGCGCATGTAGGTTTCTCCGACGAGTCAACACAGTTGGGTGTGGGTTTTACACCTAGTTGCACATATTATTATTGTCTTGTTTCCAAAAGAGGTCGCGAGGCTACTCACCATTCTCGCATTTGTACGAGTTCCCGGATACATCGAGCGAGCCGAGTACTTGCTGGGCAGAGCCTGATGCTTGGAAGCCTTGGGAGTAGGCGCTGGTGCACAGCGAAGAGGCGAATAGAACCCAGGAAGCCCTCATTTTGAAATGGTAGTAGATGGTGGAAAATGATGGAAGATGAATGGTTGTAGGGGGATGGATAACAGAAAAGGGCTTCCAAAAGCACGACTTTATATTACTTTCTTAGCCCGTACGTGCATCATCGATGAGCAAAGTCGAGACTCGGTTCATGGTACGTCAGTGTATTGATATATTTCTTATTTAACTAGGTGCAGTAACGCACAGTAAATGCACGATGTGTGTAAGTGTACTATTCCAAATGAGCTAGTAGAGATCTACCACCTAGTGACCATGTACACTACTAGGACAATTCAAGACCCTCTGGTACCCCGAGCCGTTGCCACGGTCCGTGCTATGATCGTAGTTCGTTGCGATGCTTTATTTCCAAAGTCTTAGCTGTGGTCTATACTTGATTCCGACAACGGACAGTCTTTTACTGTTTATTCTTCAACTGCATGACGTAATGCGTGTGTCCTTCCTCAGAGTGGTGCACTATCGTGACCAGTGAGCATGTAGGCTAATGTACATCATCGCCAGCAAAAGTATGTACGTAAAAGTAGCCTACTATAAGCAACATGCGACTTAATCCAACGCGTTGCTTATTACTTGGAAAGTATTGTACGATTCATGATGTCAAGAAGGTTTTGTTGAATACGCAAAACGACTGCGACTGATTCACCTATACGTAATCTTGTCCGGCAGATCTGCACTAGGTATCGCCGTCCTCTGTGTATCCACTGCATCTGCCTCGACGGCTTGATGTGTCTGCCCAAACTGCACAGGCTGTGGCTTCTTGTAATGCTCTCTAGTCTCCTGGAGAAAGCCAGTATTCAGATCTTCTGTTCCGTCGGCTCCACTGTCCTGTCTTTGGACAGCCGTCATTGAACTTCGCTTCCTATGCTCGACCCTGTCGATGATCTTGCGGCACACATCGCGGTGCGCGAGCTCCATTTTGCCCTTGACAAATGGCATGAGATACCACGCACATGTAACCTCCACGTCTTCAACAAGGACCCACCTGGCGTCTCCGACACCCATACCTTCGCCCTCGACCTCGCTCCCCGCCTCGCCATTCTCCACCACCCGAAACTCAGCACGCACAGTCACACCAGCAGCGGCATCAGCCCTCGTCTTGAGTCCCTGGCGCGTGTCCTGAAAACAGCTTGGGAAGGTAATGTATTTTTTGCCTAGCTCGCCGATGCCGGGGAACCATGTTATGCATTCTGTGACGTTGTAGGTGGAGACGGGGTACTGGTCTGGCGGGTACCAGTAAGTGTCTTTGAGGGTTGAGGGCGAGGTCGAGGGTGCTTTTGTGTGGCCGCAGGTAAGTGCTTGCAGTGTGAGGGCCGTCTCGTGGTTGTGGAGGGTAGCGATGACTTCGGTGGGGTGCATGTGCGGAGGAATTTGGTGGGCAACGTGTAAGTAGTGTTTCGAGCCCATGGCTGCGGCGGAGAGTGGGAGACGTCGAGATGGTGTATAGATGGGGGGAGGGGTAGAAGGTGTGTTGTTTTTGGGGCTGTGTCGCGCCTGCGCGCGTGGTCGTATGTGCGTATATGCGTATTAAAGCGCTGAGCCGGACTTGGGGTTAGGGTGTTGACGATTAGCGACTACGATTAACTACTGTATGTGCGTATGTTGGCGAGTGAATGGGTTGCGAAGGGAAACAGGTCTGCAAGAGTGCACAAGTGAAGGGAGAGAAGAAGAAAAAGAAGTAATTATGCCTCAAGCAGGGCTAGGAGCCAAGCTGAGGCACATGGCGTTGCTGGCTGAGGAGCTGGCTGCCATTACGAGCGAGTGAGGCTGAGACAAGGAGACATGGGCCCAACCTGCGACACGTAGTGGTTGGGCAGACAACGTCATCGTCTCACGCTTAGCCATGGAGAGAAAGGCGCCAAATACTACAAGCGGGGTCCAGTAGAGCAGACATTACACAGTACATTGCACAGTAAATATGCATATCATCACGTTGTACCAGTTACTCCCGCACGGTATGGCAAAAGAGGCGTCAACATACACAACAAGACTCCTCCACGTCTTAGAGGGTGTACTTGAACCCAGCCTGTCCCTCCCTCTCAGCCAGAGGCTCCCCGTTCGCCATCTGCTTCTCCACCACCTTATTCTGCTTCCGGAAATACACGGTAAAGCATATTAGGACGCCCAGAATGTAGAATTGCAAAGCAGCAGTGACCCAAAGTCCCGTGAGATACCTGGGCGCTTCCTTTTGCGTGAACACCGTCGACGCAATGATGCCACCAATGGCTCCGAATCCAATCTGCAGTGCGCTGCCAACCGATCTCTTACTCTGGCCGCGAATGTTGTTGCTTTGGTAGGCAAGGATAGCAGGTACATTGCCCTGGCATCCGCAAACGCCAAGGAACGTGCCAAAATATCGTGCCCCGTTGTTTTCGGCGTAAGCAACAATCATAAGCCCGACAATAGTAATGATAGATTGCGCTGCGATAATCGGGGCCCGAACTCGGTACTTGTCACCCAGCCATGCAAAGCCAAAGGCTCCGATCATGGCAACGAGACTGGGTGGGGCGGCGAGAGCGTTGGCCTGTCCTGCACTGTAACCCATGCCGAGCAGGATGACAGGGAGGAAGTAGCTGAAAGCGTATGCAGGCATCGTAGTGCTCATGAAGAGCGTTGCGTATCCCCACAACTTGACGTCTCTGACATGTAGTCCGAATTTTGCCCACGTCAGTGCATCATCAACAGAGTCGCCGCGATCGTCTTCAATGCGCTGCATGATCACGGCTGCTTCAGCAGAAGTCAGGAACCCCTTCTTCTCGGCCTTGTCGGGGAAATCCAGGATGATAAACCAGGCTGCGACGGCGACGACGACTGTAAGGATGCCTTCGATTATGAAGATCCATTGCCACCTGTTCCACATGTCAATACATACACCTTTTCTCAAGTAGCGGTTGGTGGCCGTGGCCGTGGCCGTGATCTGCTTACCCGCGAACTCCGGAAAGGCCTTCCATCTGCATCAAACCATATGCCAGAATACTCGCTAGCCCACCGATACCAACTGAGAAGAGGTAGAACAAGCCCAACCTGAAAGAAAAGTCAGCTCTTTGTCCAGTCTTGTGATTGCCAAAGCGCTTGCTGTACCTTTTCTGTGTTTCATAGCGGCGGTACCAACAAGTAATGAGATAAACGCAACCGGGGAAGAAGCTAGAATATTTTGTCATTAGCTAGAGGGTTTAAGACTAAAGTCTGGAAAGTTAGGTTACTTACCCAGCCTCAAAGGATCCCAGTAGGACACGACATATAGTAAGTGAGATCCAGCTCTTCACGAAGGCTTGACCAATCATCACAGCACCCCAAGATACAGCGATAAAAGACAGCCAGTTCGCGCTTCCTACCCTGCGCAGCACAATGTTCGAAGGTAGTTCGAGGAGGAAGTACGTGGGGAAGAACATGACGAGCACAATTGTGTATCGGTCCCCGACATCGAGACGGAGGTCCCGTCCCATGCCCGCGACTCGGGCATTAGAAATCTAGGAGTTCTGTTAGGAATGTTTCATACGAACACTGCCCGATAGCTTCGTTTACTTACATTTGTACGATCGATTAGCGCAATCGAGTATAGAGCCCCTAATATGGGTAGGAGCCTCCAGTCCACCTTGCGTACTAGCTTCCTCTCCTCAATCTCATCAAAGATGTAGTCGCCGCTGTTGCTGCCGGTCGCAGGTGGATTCAAGCTCTCCTTGAGGACTGCGTCGACCTTTTCTTCTCTCTCGTTACTCATGGTGTGTAGAGTGGGTCGTCAGACTGGATCGATGACCAGAGGGTGAGATCAACTACGAAGATCTGCAAGGGGGAAATTTTGTGACATGCGCCCCCCTACACTTATACTACCATCCAGATGGCTGCAGCCGAGGTGATTTTCAACTCTTGGCCACAGCATTATTCCGCGATCCTTTTTTGATCCAATGAGAACAATCACTAGCTCCCGGGTCATCATCATGTACGATAGACACGTGGATTAGAATTGCCAATTCGGTCATGTAGTCCAATACCAAGACGAGCAAAGACATGGAGAATGGCGGGGAAAGCCTGGGTGAAGGACATTTGCCCAAGAATGGTAGTTAGTCCTAGAGTCACTAACCGCCACCGCACCCAATACCGCCAGTCTGGTGCTGAGATGCAAGTTATCCCGAGCAAGCATGGTCTGCCGAGACGAAGAAACTCTCAGGATGATATGAGATGGACGAAGGGCGGACCAATCCAATCACAGCAACTAAGCTTGATGTGCCCAGCGTGCTGGGCATGCCATGGCCGGCTGGCCAGATTGCGGGGTTGTTCTTGGGGTATCCTGGGGTGAAAGTAATGCGTCAGATTTCCAAGCGCCAGATCGGGGTAAGTAGTATAAGGACACGGTTGGTGTAGCTATGGTCTGACATGGAATTGCTCAAGGCCAGTGCGGTTATGGAAATGCAGCCGTGCTTACCTACCAGATTCGTTGAACAAAGAAGTCGATACATCCCATCACAATGAACAGGTCAGTTTGGCCTATAACAACAGCAGAGTGTGTGACATAGCTATTGTGAGATCCAATCACGATGCCGACACGGAGTGTATGCGAAGTGTTCGTGTAATGGGAATGAGTGAAGTCGTGGAGGCGGAGCAAAACTAGCGTCTCGGCATGGAAGCATCGGATGTGAAAATCTCGGGCCTATTGAATGGCGTGCCTTGTCATTCGCAGTAGCACATCGCAAGTGCAATTTTAGATGTTAGAACCGAATTCAACAGTAATATTCCTCTGCTTATGTTGATTCTTGGGAACACGACGATTTCCATGCGGGGACACACTCAACATGCTCCAAACATAAACACACATAAGTATATGTATATAAGTCACGAGAGACGGCTAGTACTACTATAACGTGTATCACCAGTGTGCGCCCCACCCCAGTGTGCGCCCCACAAAATCCTAGTAC